TTAAAAATCAAAATTTCATCATTCCGAGGGAGACATACACTGATGTTAAAATCAGCCCCCCCACCCCACCCCTTGGGCGGTGAAGTGGGGGCAACTTTAAAATCTTAAGTGGGAACTCCTATTTTTGATTGCATATTCAGAATCTTTGGCTAAAAGCACATACGATTTGTCTGAAACATTTTTCTCGATTCATGATAGATGGCGCTATAATCGACGAAATTCAATTTCTTTGATTTCTCTTACTGAGAACCCATGCTTACGATTCTGCAATACATTAACAATAAAAATACCACGTTTTCATTGTTAATACTCGAAATTAGTCTTAAAACACTTCTCTTAAAAAACTTCTCATATTTTTAATTACTCATTAATTACTTCTCAAGAAACTACTTTTAGTGTAACCCAGGAACAACGACGTGAACGTTGCAGTTTTCTGTTCCCTTCGGGGTGCTTGATTAACGTGAGTCCCCTTGCCTCTCACAATTCGGGGTGCTTGATTATCGTGAGTCCCCTTGCCTCTCACAATTCGGGGTATCAACTTTCAATAAGTAAGTGCTCAAAATGATGACCTTCGACTTCACTGCCCGAAGATTGAAAACTGATAGAATATAAATGGGTTTTTGAGATAAAGGATTTTGTCGATGAAAACAATACTTGAGAACAAACTTTTATGTTAAAAAACATTTGTGTGTTCAAGGTTTTTTATAATGAATTAGGCATTAGATTATGACAAAATCTTTTCTCCCTTTGTTATTAGATACGAATCAATACGACTTTTATTGGTTGATCTCAATAAAAGAAAATTTGAAATCAATTTGATTTAATGTAAGCATTTATCTGAACAGCGATCTAAAAGAAACTATTTTTATGCGAATTCCTAATGGTTTAAATGTAAAAGATAAGAATTTATTATTAAAACTATATATACAGCAGTTTATAAGTATAAAGCAATTTATTATAATAAATCAATCCGATCGTTGTTGGAATGAGAAATTCTCTGTATTTCGGTCAGAGTGCTTCTCTCTGTCACAGTTCTACGTAACGTGTTATGTCACGGTGTCATGAATGTTTTCCAATCTTATTTATTTAAGAATTAAGATTTTGTAGTGTCTGTCGTCAAGTGGCTGTTAACAGTACCAGTGCTTTGGGAAGTATGTTCTAATATTGGATCACTTGAATTACTGAAAACCCTGTAAAATCATTTATGTTTAACATATTTTTTAACGTAAAATTATATTTTAAGGTTATACTTACGTTCCATTTTTTTCGAGCGTGGATTTCAAATTTTCCACTGGGTTTTGTGGATTCATAGTTAAGTCTAAATTAGATAACGAACTATCATGTGTATCTTCGTTAGATGTTCCACCGACCTTATTTAACTTTTGTCCTTTACTAAAATTAGTCATAATATTATTAAAGATATATACAAAATATATATATGATTAGAAAATGTATATTATAGATATACACACTTACCTCTCCATATGAAATCGATTAACTAATTTCTTTATGTCTTGTATATAATCGTACCTCCTTAGTAACATTTTTAAATGTTGTTTCGATTTGTACGTTTGTCTATAAATAAGATATATAATTATTTATTTAATGAATCTGCTTCATATATTGTATTTAGAAGCTTTCTAAATATTTATGTATACGTACCGTTTCGTTATAATTCGAGATTTATCCAGTGTTTTTTTTACATCAACACATTCGAATTCTATTTTATCTTGAATAATTTTGCAAGATTGTGCTCTCAATTGTTCCAACAGCAGTTTTCTGTAAAACAATTTATAAAATTGTAATGAGAAAGTTGATAAATAATTATATAAGTAGGAACAGTGGCGATAATACTTGTGAATACTTACTTGCCATCTTCTTTATCATA